CCCCCCGGAGGGATCGAGGGGGCGCCCCGGGGCTTCACGCTTCCCGGATTCCGCCTTTTTTTTTTTTTTTTTTTTTTCTTTATTCCTCAGTTCGCTTGACATACAGGCTTGTCAGCGAGGATGACTGGCTTCGGATCCACCACAGCCACCCACGTGGACATACGAGCTTTCGCTCTTATGGTCTCTTAAATTCACCCAGTCTTTCATGTCGACACGGCAAGAACAGATTGGAAAACCGATGAGATCAGTTTGCTCCAGAAAGTTATTGAGTTACCTTTTCCTTGGCTTCACTCAGCTGGTCCTCCAGTTCAGAGAAGCTAAACCCAGCCACGGTGATGAAGTCACCGATCACAGCCACAAACTTATCCCCGCGTTCCCTCATCCTGCTCTGCTGGTAGTGCAGCTCCTGGTGAGAAGCGACAGGGACACGAAAGCTTGTCACTGAGAGTTTGCCAAACGCCTAAATGAATTATAATTGCTCCAGTCTCCTGTGCGCGGCACGGCCGTGCTGCAGAGCGCCGAGCGTTAGCGGCGTTTAAACACCTCAGCGTGCCGTACTTCACTGTTTCTGCTTAAAAGCATAATTACAGGCGGCAGAAGAACCAGCGGGAGGGAGAAGGAAACTAACTCAGCCCAACTCACCGCCTCGAGAGCCTTCAGCCCGCTTTTGATGTTGTGCACTTCTTTTTCCAACTCTGACAAACTGAGGAGAAAGAAGATCAACAAATGTTTCCAGTTATCAGTCATAGTTTAGTAGACTGCACCTTGTGTTACAAAGTTGACGCTGAAGTTTGGGGGGTAGGAATATTCATACTTGACTTTGGCGGCTTCAGGCACGCTCCTGAGGTCTTCCTGGATGTACAACGTGTCTGGGTAGTTCTTCTCAAAGATCATGATCAAGTAGTGCAACATGGTGATGTTCCTGTTGCATTAAAAGCAATGATTAATTTGATTAAAATAAACTTTTAATCTGCATTAAAAAAGAGAAGAGTTTTCATCTGTCTGTCAGTAAAAATCCAAATGATCAAAGATTCACAGACTGGGAAAAGAACAACCAGGTGTGAACAATAGCACTGTCTGCCTGTAGTAAGCTGTCCAAACTTTGACCCTAATATTTTTTTTCCCCCTGCAAAATTTCATTTTATTCTTCCCACATTCTGTATTTTTCTGACAAAAAAAGTACCTAATCAACAACTTTTCTTGAGATTTCAGAAAGCCCCAGTTAACTTCAAGTAATTTTGTCATAAAAAAGTTGAGCACCAGCTCAATGTGAAAAGTGTAAAAGCACCTGAAGACTGGGTCTGGACTCATTTGGTCCGGATATGGACAGGCTTTCAGACTTAGGAAATTCTCTAAATATAATTTAGTTTTTATTGTAAAACTTACTGATTGTTATTTAATTTCAAGGTATGTAGAGTAAACTACGCAGAAATCTCAACTTTTGGTCTCACAAACATTATCACTTTGTTTTATGACACTTGTACCAGAACATAAGCTCATATTATTGTGGATTTTTACGACTTTTGTTTTTCTGAGTCCAGCTGAACTGTTGACATGCCAACACGCTGCTCAATCTAATAATCACGTTCAATGAACAAGATTATTATGCTTTTAGAAATCTTTCTTTTCTTGGCAATAATAACTAATGTTTCTACGTTAAATATATCCTGCACAATAACAAGCATAAGGTCCATTTTAAAAGATTTTTTTTAGAGTTAATCTGAACAACAAGTATCAGTATGTTTCAATATTTTAAAAAATGCAACGCAGTCGTATGACACACATTCTAAAAATCTCTTCAATAAGATTCAACATTTGCTCTAAATTTTTTAGGAGAACTTGTTTCTTGGCACATTTGTCTGTGTAGAGGTTGTTGATTAGTTACCGTGGTAACACACCTCTAAATAGCAGGAAGGCCCCGAGGAAGTGATGCGATAATTACAAATATGACATTCTTCTGAACATATCAATGCTCCCACTTATTCCCTCACAAGTACCGTGTTCGGAGAGAGTTGGATAGTATAAAGTTTCATATGCTGGATCTAAACACCAGAGTGCACAGAAGAAAATTAGGTCATGGAGGCAGTGGAGTAAGAGTGCTGTGCTTCAATTCATCTCCCTGTTTATATTAAGACGCATCTGAGTCACTGGAAATCATGCCAGTAGTGCCTGTTTCCGTGGCAACGCCGATGGCTCGGACAGCATTTCATTACTGTAAAGAGAAAAGAGCTCCCACACGCCGTTTGTTCGAGCGAATCTATCGCCGCTGCAACACGCTGAAGTGGTTTTATATTTTTCTGTCAATTTCTTTCAAGACTCTGAGTTAAGTTTTGTAGAAACCAGCGGATGGCGAAGGAACACTGAGCAGAGGCACTCTTTGTTCATTCTTTAGAGGAGTTTTCCAGCTCTAGTTGCCTTTATTTGCTAGCGAAATGACAGGAAAGCGGGTTGTGAGAGAGGGGGAAGACATCCAGCAAAGGCCAACGGGCCGGGACTCAAACCCAAAACGCAGCTGGTTCATGTCCTCTGTACATGGGTGGCGAGCTTTACCACAGGGCCTCCTCTGTTCGTTCTTTTATTTTCTCATAATTGGCTTAACATTTAAATGCTAATGAGATGAGATTTGCTTTTATGACAGGCTAGAGATTTAATTTTTTTTTCCCAATTTCAAGTCTCCGATGACTGAAATGAACATTTTCACATTGGATTCTGGCCATCTACTCTCCCCATAACATTGAATTGTGGTAGATTATTGGTTATATTGCTATATCGGCTTACTGCCACCTTAAAGAATTGCCAGAATAAAGGGTTTCTAATCAAAACAGGTTTTATTTTCACTTGGGTAGAATATCTTAATGGTGTCTATAGAGGTTTCTGTTAAAACAATAAAAGAAAAAAAAAATCAATCAAGCAGCTGCATGTGATCCAAAAGACACTGTTCTGCCAAACACCAGTCCTTAAATCACTACTCTGACTACTTGTTTGTAAAAAGAAACTCAGGATATTTATAAGACACTCAATGGTCTTGGACCTAGATGAATTCCAGAGATGCTGCTCAAACCATACAGACCTCTCAGGTCATCAGAAAGGTCTTCACTCTGTTTTCCCAGGACCAGAATAAGAAAGATGAGGTACAACGTCATCGCTACGCTAATAAGCTCTGACACAAACTTCCTGAAAACCTGAGATACTATTGGTTCCTTTAAATCTGGACTTAAAATGTTTTTATTAAAGCTTAAATGCTATTTTATAAGTTAAATAAGTTTTGCAGTTTAGATTTCATACTCATGTTATATAGATATTACTCATGATATACATATTAATCTATATCATGTTTTAATGTGTATGTTTTGATGTGTTTCAGTTGGTTTTATCTCTTTTCCCTCGTTTTCCTATGAAGCACTTTACATTAACGTGCGAACAAGTAGTGCAAACAAAGCAAATTCATGAAGTTATTTACCTAATTTTAAGTACAAATGCCACATATGTTCAAAGAAAAATAGTAGAAATGATGGAACATCAGCTAATGTCAAATTTTGAAATGAATGAAACAGGGAATAGACGTTTTTACATATAAATGGTAAACCTTGTTACAAGATAACAGAATACAGAGCAAGGCGTAAAGTACTGGTGAAAAAGATTACCTAATGTTTGAATGAATTGAAAAATAATTTCAATATTTTGAAAAACCAGAAATATCTGTTTGTGATGATTCTAAATTGAGATGTAGGAGCAAAGTTACATTTATTTTGTACCTGAAACCATCGTTCAAAGACCACAGCAGCTGTGGTCAGCTGCAGTCTTTCCCTGCTCTCCTTCTATGTCAGAAGTTTTAAGAGCTTGAATCTGAGTCAAATCTTAAAATATTTTGTTTTGTAACAAGCTAAGGTCTTAGACTCAGGTCGTGACTGCTGCAGCAAGGCTCAAATCCCCCCTCTGTTGCCCACCTGTCTATGCTCGACTTGGTGTCGACGATCTTGTTCAGGCTGGAAACCTTGAATCCGAAGGCGTTCCCCCGCTGGCCCTTGTTCATGAAGTTTCCAAAGGCCAGCACCACCTCCAGGACCTGAGTCAGACGCTTGCTCCGGACCACCTCCACGGAGGCGTTCAGGATGGCTGCAGAAGAACGCGGAGAGAGGAAAAACAGCTGCTGAGATCATGATTTAAACTTGTTCAGCTTTGTCTATTACATAACAAACTGGGCTTAAATTATTCCTTCCACTCTGTTACTCCACTCAAACACCACAGAGACGCAGGAGCTTCAAATTCGACTCCGTGTTCCCCCAGAATTTCCTTTATTTTTAACATCATTCACGATGAGTGATCGGTATTCTCCATAACAACTGGGCAGCTTGGTGGGAAAAGTATCCTGTCCTTCCATCAGTAAAACAGCAAGAGGGGAAAGGAATACACTGAACATGAGCCAACTCTGTCTGTTTCATTTCCCCTGAGAAAGGAGCGTCTGGCAAAGTGCAGGTGGTTCCCCGTCTCCGCAGAGGAAACCATCAGCGTAACTGTGAAGATCATTAACAAACATCATATTGTTATTGTTACACTTTTTTGTGTTGTGATGAAGCATGGGAACTGTTCTCCTGGCTCTGGCCGATGGAGCCGTCTTCTAAAAAAGGCTCCCATTGAACAGGCTGGGTGGTCTGCAGACTTACAGTCTAATCTGCAGTATGTGACAAAATTATATGAATAATAAAACAAAATGAGATTTTTTTTTCTTCTTTTTTTGAACAGTGTGGTCCGGGGACTTTTGGATCCAACAACAGCAATTGTGAAGGTTTCTCTTCTCTTCTCTTCCCGCGCCAGCTGAGAGTGAAATGTGTGTCAGAATATATTACCCTGACCTCAGACCAGAAGGAATTGAGTTTCTCAGAAGAAATTATGCAGCACAGACAGAATCGAACTGACAGTGCGAATAAAAACGCCGACAATAAACAGTGTGATGTTCTCATCAAAGCAACCCTGGCTCTAAAAGCTGCAGCGACAACTCGGTCATGGATATCCGTGCATGCACACACACAAACACACACACACACGCACACACTGGAAAGCTTTTTCCCTGACATCTTTGAAGTGAAATTCAGGTTCACAGGAGATGCTGTCCTCTCTCAACGTGAGCCAGTTTTCCAAAACAGCTTCCATGGTAACACGGATGCTGGGTGGGAGAGGGAAAAACTGCATAAAACCAGCATGCGCACACACATCCATACAACCATGCAATCTCATTTAAAAGCATGCTCCTTAATAATTTATGTCCAGCTTCAAAATATATTTTTTACATTTTCACCTTCGTCTGCTCACAAGTTGCAAAAAGTCACCTATTGGACAGCTGCGTCATACATAAAATCATAGCTGCATCATTTTATTTCATGGTTATCAACAGGTTATCAAGTCTGCGCAAATTTCAGCAAAATGTAAGTAGAGATGTTTCAGTTTTCCAACTGTATTTGAATCAAGTGCCTTGTTAAACGGCACCAGACTTCAGCTACTTTAACATCTCTCCACTGTGTTCTTCATCCCTTCTTTCTGCTAAGGCTTGAGATGAACTAAATCTGCAAACATAAATCACTGATAATCGCTTTTGCTGGCTAGATTCGCATCCAAGTCGATCCTGACGTCCTCCGACTTGCACATCGACAAAGAACAATCTCAAGCGGTTCTTAGGCAGCTGCAGTTTGCAGGTCCAGACGCTGCAGGAGTTCTCCAACAACTGCACAGCCTCGAGAAACGATGGGAAAGATCTGGCTTCAATCTGAACCCACTGATGGAGATGTCAACTCAGCAGCTGTATATTTAATAGAATCTTAATTTGATTAGATCGAATTTTCTCAACATATCCAAAGAGAAATACTTTGCACCTTCTGCCTCGAGATCGGCTAACAGCTCATCTGCTCTGAATATCTAAAAATGTTTTTCAAAGACATTGTTGAGCCGCAAACTGATACCTGTGAGTCAAGACGAACTGCAGTGTTCATGGTTTTGTGTTTATAAAAGTTTTCTTGTGCAATAGTGATTGATTCCTTGTTTAAATTATAAAACTATCCCTTTTATAAGGCGACCGACTGCAGAGGCATTAATTCACCGAACCACTGAACTATCATGTTTGTCCTTACCTTCAACCTTAGGCTTGGTTTCAGCTAAACGCTCTGCAAACTTCTTCTTAAAGAACAGAGCCTGTAGTCTCTGCTGGTAGTGGTCAATTCTGATGGGAAGAACAAAGAAACGAGAGGAGAGATTAGCAGGGGTCAGTTACATTTGTCTTTAGGGGGAGCAAAACTTCAAATGTTACAAGTCAGTGAAATGTGCAAAATCCCCTGTCTCACTTTACACTCTATTCTAAAGCATCCAGAGGGCTCTTGTCAAAGGACGAGATGACAAATGGGGATGTAAAACTCGACTAAATGTTCACCAAAGCAAGGAGGGAGAGTTTCAAAGAGAGACGAGAGATATTAAATGCCTGACCACAGGAGATGAAGTCAAGGAGGAAGCATTCAGGACTTCTGCTACATAATGAATCAAGCTAACGCTCGATACATTTTCTTGACGAAGCTGGCTTAAAACAGAAATCAAAACCACCCTCTCACACAAAGAGCATCACAGTTACCTGCTCATCTCAAAGAGGAAGCGGTCAGCTCGGGCCATCCTCTCCAACTCATGTTTATGCTCTTCTAAAAGATCTATGTCACTTTTCTCAGGGACAAATTTAAGCAGCTGGAAAAGATGCAGAAGCAATGTTTATTAGAACCGCAATAGCTCCAAGTTTGAGCTGCAACCACTTAAAGTTCATCGACAGTAATTTTCCTCAAATAAATAGTAAACAGATGCATGTGACTCTCTAAAACCACAGTTTCAGTATTTCCTTTTTACCCAAATAGGGTTCAAATTATGTCTATGACACATTACATGTCTTTTTAATTACATGGTAATTCAATTGTATTTTACTGCCATTTAATTAATGGTAGTTAATATAAATACCATTAATTAATACTAATTAATTGTATTATATCTAATAAGTGCTTTGTTTGCATTTATTTTGATGATAAAGCTGTTTGTGTTTTAAAGTTGACAATATCAGAGCCAGGTTTCCATCATCTAATAAAAAATAAATAAAAATATTTGACTCACATTTAAAAGCACTAGGGAATCTTTTAATGATCCAAATTTAACTAAATTAAAATTTTAATTGGGGGAGAATTCAGACCCCTGAAAGTTTTCTGTTAATTTTGAACATCTGCAAACCATTCCCCTACTAATTTCTGAATAACCTATAAAATCTAGCTGCCTTGTAAAAATCCTGATCGTCACGAAGGGACACATACCTGCTCCAACATGTCTTTGGCTAGCTCCTCCCTCTCATCCATCTCTAGTATCGCCCTTTTGATTTCTTCATTTGTCATTTTCAACCTGCAGGGAAGCAAAATGCACTTTAATGACATCAAATGCGAAACACAAACACAAGCGTCCTGATAGTGGCGATCTGAGCACCAGTCTGGACAGCTCCACTCTCACCCCCTGAGAGCACTGCCAGCTGTTTTCAGACGTACGTGCGCTGGGCTTCGATCAATAACAGCATTGTCAGTACGCGCATCAAAGCTGTATTGACCATCTGCTAACCCCATCTGGGTCAGTCTGTTATTGGCACGAAAGAGAGTGCAGGGAGCGTGCCGCTGTTTTGTCAGATGCACAAAGGACTCAGGAAGCCCGTTTATTGATCTGTAGAGTGGGGTCAGCGTTTAAACCCTCCAAGGGGGCCCCGGGACCACTGCTGTTTGGGGATTTAAATGGGGAACATATTGTCAAGTGGATCTCAAAAGACAGCAATGGATTCAGCTTCAGATGTAGCGTGACCCCTTTGGGAGAAGGGTCAATTAATGGATCTTTGATGCGAGTTAACGTTGACACCGATAGCACTTGAATGTTTAATTATAGACTGAATTTCATATCGTGCACTGCTTCCGGATAAATTCTCTTTTGGCTGGAGCAGCCAACACATTTTGTGGCGTAAACAGCTGCTTATGTGAATAGCCTATTATGAAGAAGCACAGCAAAAACTCAATGGAAGGCTGCAGGGTCTTCCTTAATGTGGGACAAACAACTCAGGTTCAGATTATGTCAAGTAAGGATTATTTATGTTTTAAATTACTGGAAACATTACAAACCAAACCTATTTGGTTTTTATAGGTGGACTGCTGCATTTAAAGCTGCAACACACTCCAAAATAAGTACTGGAAAAACATTTAAATTCAGTAGACTTAAATGTAGTTCAATATATGGCTTGTATAAAGAAGAATTAGACCTCGTAACGTTTATTATCCGAGTTGCTTCCAGGAGTGATAATAGATGATTGTAAACATGGGCAAGGAGATCTCCTGTAGCAGTTTGTGTTGCAGCTTGTTTTCTTTTTTTCGTCCTGATGCATTGATATTACTGGAGATTCCTTGAACTATTTAATGATCTTATGCTTTGCAGAGGAAGGATTCTGTACATCTCTTTTCATTCCTTCTTTAATACAATTATTTTTAGTAGTTTTTGCCCACCACAAATGTGTAGTGATACCGAAGACTCATTGTTTATCTCCGATCTTCTAACATTCAGCTCAACATTAAGCTGGATTTAATTCTCTGACTAACAAAACATCAATGTATTTAGGGCTTGAAAATGTGGGAGTTGATTAAAAATAAAGATCAATTAGGTCAAGAAAACTGAACATTAAGTCACTTTAACATGGTGATAATTTTAGTTGTACAAGAGCAGCTCCTCAATTCGGATCGCTTACTTTGAAAGCAAGATGACGCAGTTCTGAGCACGTCTGCCATCGATGACCGACAGCTCTTTGACCTTCCGTGTGCTGACGTAGATGTCATCCATAGAGCCAGTCTCTTTCTGTAAAAAAAAAAAATAAAGAGAAAAGGGCTTTAATTTGTAGCTCAGATTAATGAGTATTCACATAAAATCCACAGCACACACATTAACATCTCCTCCTCACTTCTTTGCGATATCTTTAACTGATCGAGGAAAGCTTTTCTGGGACTTAACAAGGAGTTAATGAAGAGACATGACTCGAAACAGCCGAGGGAAACTAAAAGGATTTAGCACTTGCTTCAGGTCAAGTTACCTTTGGATACAGAGAGAGCTTACACAAAGAACAAGGATCAGAAGCAGGCCTTCACAATGCAACACCTCATCAGAAACTTCTCAAAGGAGGAGCAGGAATGCTGGTCCAATCAAAGCCCGTTAGATATGTTGGTTAACCTCACATAAATGTAGTAAAAAATCCCTGAAGCAAAGAATAAATTCTGAGAGAGCCGTTTGGGGCCTGCATGTTAAACACATTCTATTTATGGTGCAGGCTGGTTTCCTGCTCGCCAGAAAAATCTCTGTTTTCAGGGTTGCTGGGCATGACATATATAAAACAGATGTGGATTTTGAAGAAAGTGTCGTTTTTCTGCGTCCGTGCTGACCCGGGGTGTTTGGCAGCTGAGCGGGGTTGGCAACAGGTTAGGGGGACAACTCCCATCCACTGAAGCCGTTCAGAGCGCGCTCTCTCTCTCTCGTGGCTCACAGACGAGCGCCAGCTCTGCCAGACTGTTTGCCTCGTAGGCGCTGATACGACCGACTGAAAGGTTGAACTTTTCAATTGGTCACAAAGTGACATCAGCTGAAAGACGAGGTGTTGTGCTTTGGACTTTCGAGCAGAACCCTTAATAGTTTGCTTGTCTGGATGCGAGAGCCAAAGGATCGTACGAGGTGAAGAAATATAACTCAGTAATTATGGAAGTTATGTCAAAATGTCTTGTGATATACAAAATATTCTGTAAAATAAATTATTGCATTGTTTGTTAAAGTCATATTGGAACATAAACCGTTTTGCTTTTAGTGAATCACAAAGTGGCTAATTCAAAAATATGTGAATAAACTGCACCGTACATCACAACTAAGGTTATTACACATCAGGAAACAGATCTGGTCTTTATCAGATTCTACATTTATTTACCACAAAGGCTCAAAAAAGTAGGCAAGGGTAGTTTATAAAACCACCTTTAGTGACTTTTTGCAATTCTTCTGCATGACTTTTGCAGATTTTCAGATTTTTGTAGAAAAAACTTTGGTCCCGTCTCCTTTCCACATCATTCCTTCACGGATTACATCATCCGGTTTAGGATGAGCTTCGCATTCCAGACATATGACTTCACATCTGATTCTAGATTATTTTGGTGTTTGTGGTCAAGCTGAAGAATGAAAGATACCCAGGTCATGTTGCTGCAAAGGAAGTAAAAATTATCACCCTCCAACAATGTGCTAACTGAATTTGCTGGGGTTTTCTACTTCTGGGAGTTTGGTAGATGCTTTAAATATTTTTCACTTGTGAATATTTTCTCTGCTGAATTACAGATTTCAAACCGTTTAAAAATGCCCTTGTGATCTTTCCACAAATTAAAGTGTTCCAACAATATTTTGTCTTGGGTTATTGCTGGAGTCTTTCCACTTCGACATGTTTGACTTTTAGAGGCGACTGATGACGATGATCAATTATTTTATTAGCAAAAGATGATTAGCAACTTCAGTAAGACACTTGGTTTTAATTTAAAGTGGAGACTTTGAAAAAAACAACATCACAGAAAATAATAAATTCAATGTGCGAAGCTGACTGCTGTTTGCCTGGCCGCTGCGAGGCAGAAGGCGAGGTGATAAAAGCAGTAAAAGTGGATAACCATTGTGGTCAAGAAGCTCAAAGATGTTTAACTCACCTGTTTGAAGGATTGGTTAGTTAGCAGGTCCTGCCCAGGCAGCCGGAGAGAGCAGGGACAAAAAAAAATTGAGAACACATGCAAAGATTAGCACCGAAGGCCGGAAAGGCAAAAGCAAAGAACTACTAATACTAGATGCAAACTACAAGCTGAAGCTGGAAAGCTTTTGTGAGAGTAACAATGCTAAATTCTTCATGTTGTCTACGGTTCAAAAGATCTGCATAAAAGGCTGAAAGATTAACACAAATAGATTTCTAGTTCGGATTTTGTCTTCTCAGACCGACCACGGATGCCTTGGTGGTTTTAATTTTGACTGCATCTACATCAGTCTGACATGGAAAAACAGGACGATGAAATACGGCTGTGGCAGACAATTCTACAGAGTGCAAGTGTAAATAAAATACCATTTTGACAGAAAGAGCAATGAAAAGCTCTAAAACAAAAGTATGTCATGTATAAACACAGCATTACTGCCCAGTGAAATTTAAATTAAATTTGGCTCTTTCCAAACGGGAACTAGGCTGTCAAAGACAGGAAGATGTTGGGTTTTTATGCGACTGCATCCACTGGGATCAGCATTTAGGCAACGGCCAGTGCCAATAAAAACCTGCTCCGCACAAATAAATACCTGCAGTATATCACTGTCAGCAACAACCCCAAATGACCCATTCCTCTTTAATAAAAGCTTGCAAGGAGACACTGTGATTGTAACTGTCCGACTGCTGTAAAATGCATTAACTCAACAATGGCGATGCCTCAGTGGAGATGATTTAGTGCTCTTTAATGGAACCTTAAAGACCTCACTTTAAACTGTGATTACTAGAAACCAATTAGAACAAATTAACCCTCCACTTAAACCCATTTAAGTGGACAATGTGTCTGTGATATAAGGCACAGTTTGTGCAACTGTACATTATATTATGGAATGAAAATAGTACAATTAATTCCCAGCAGAGAGGAGAGTGATTTGCTATGCATGGTTTGACATATGCCCAAGAGATGCACCAATTATGCTTTCAGCTCGTCTCTGTTTCAGGATGATTTACTCAATAAATCTGTTTGTTTTCACTACATCTCAATAACAAGCTTTGTGTTTTCTCGCATTGTGACTCCCTGTGGGTCTTGATTCAAGACCTGCCGTTGGTTCTCACACCAAAGGTTTGTGGACATCAGCAGGAGCTACAATGAGCCATTCAGCAGCCAACAGCTGCTCCTGTAAGGCTGAAGCTGGACCGTTTACGCTATAAAAGAGTCATTCGCATGCTCAAGCATACCAACACATACTCGGCATTCAACACACATACGGATAAGTGTAGTCAGGTATTTATAACCCACAAACAAATCCAAACCTGCTGTCTCTGGTACGCTGAGAACATCTTCTCTATGTCCTTCAGGTCCAGAACCTTGAACGCCCTCAGGTCATCAATTTCATTCCAGATGGTGCCGTTGATCATATTCTGAAAGAACACAGGATGGGGGTTATTGCTTTCACTCCAGTTGCAAAACAAACCACTACTTTATTTCAATGACTCAGTAGATGAACGCACTGGATCTTTGTAATTTTGTGTGCAAACTCACACAATTTGTAAAAGCAGCACATCAGCCTATTTATCATTGCAGTTAACTATTTTATGGAGATAAGCATGTGTAATAATGTTCACATCTAATCTATTCATGAACACAAATATACAGGGCATCTTTGCATTATGCTCCTTTCTGTTTATTTTGTTTCTGATCCCAGTTTAGGCCTCATAAGTCTTATGAAATATGAAAGACCCCTGATTAACCAAAATTCCTCTAGCCAGATTCAGGCATACAACACCATTTACTTGCTGCAGACCATGAACAGAAAAAAAAAATAAAAATTTTCAGTGGTCAAAGTGGGTATAAATTGTCAACTAATGCATTGGGCACTACCACACCTCCAATACTAGACAACACAAATTCACACCTTAAAAGTTGGGTGCGAAATGAGCAAATCTGAGATGTGTTTATCAATGGTGATCGTCTTTTTAAATCATACATGTCAGTGTTTGCACATTACTACAGAACGTCTAAGGAAGTCTCGTCTCACGTCTCCTAATTTGCTCCAGTTGAAGGACTTCAGCGGATGAGACGGCTGAGGAATGGACTTTGACCGCATCATGTTCATGGAGTTGAATGAGGAGGGCATGGGAGGCGGCGGTGCTCCAAAAAGAGGAGGAGCTCCAGGTGGAGGAGGCGGTGCCCCGGGCGGAGGAGGTGGCGGGGGCGGCGGCGGGCAGCTGAACGGCAGTGGAGGCGGTGGTGGAGGAAAGCTGCCTGACATAGGTAGAGGAGGTGGAGGCACTGGTGCTCCAGGAGGCGGAGGGGGAGGCAGCATGGAAACACTGCTGCCCTGCTAAATGACAAAGGGACAGAAGTTAAATATTTTGAATGAAACCATTATCTCATCCAGGAGGAAATGGAATTAAACCTTTTATTTAAAGTAAAAATATTCTAATTATTAAACACAAAAGTTTAATCTTAACTTACAGTAATACTGCAGTTATGAAGGACTTATAAAATAGCTAACCAGACTATTCATGTAATGTTTCATGAATAGTCAAAACATAACTGTATATTAAGTGCTTACAGAGAAAATAACTGTTTATTTACCGTTTTAAGGGGATTATTTCTGTAATGTTTGTAAAGTTATATCCAATTTCAAGATTAGAAGAGAATCGATCAGTAGTCCAGAGACTGGTGTGAGCATTTATGTTTTATATTCAATGAAATGATTGCAATAAAAACGTCTTACCATTTTCAGCCTTTAAATGTAGTGGCACTATTTACTTCGAGACATTTTAAGTGAAGATCAAACATACATGCATGGCCAACAACATCACAATTCCTTTGCCGAGACATTCAGGAAAAGCCAGATGAGTGTAAGAACCAACAAAACATAAGTTCTTACTGCAAAGTCATTGATGCGCGACGACAAGTCGAGCACTTGCTCTCTGGCCGAACGCAGCTCCACGCCCTCACGTTGCAGCTTGTCCTTCATCTTGTTCAGAGTCTTCATCATCTCCTCCTTCTCCTGGGTCTTTGTCTCGCACTCCCTCTCTTTCCTCTCCAGCTTAGCCATTAGCTCTGCATGGTCTGCAGTTCAACAAGAATCATAAAGGTGTTCACTTGATGCAGATTTTGTCCAGGAAATCCATGCAGGCTGGCAGCAAGCTCCTCACCTTTCCTGAACTTCTCGGCCTGCTCTCGCCACAATTTCACCTCATTTTCGTTGACCAGCCTGCGAAGTGGACAAAGACAAATAAGCACAAGGTTGCAGAAGAGAGCTCAACACGCGGGGTCAACTGCATTCCAACTGAGTCAAGCCGGGATGGTCCAAGGGAATTTAATCATTGACCTATTGATCAGTAACACTGATCAATAGGTTGACTTCCCTTATCAATGATGGGATTTGACCAGCATTGACTGAGGTGAAGCAGTTTGAAGCTTAGAAGGAAAACATTAGTGCTGGGATAAACCCTGGAGGGCTGAAAGTGGTTATGTTTTATTTATTTTATTTTATTTTTTTCAGGTATCATCTCTGGGACTTGGTTGCGCTTGGAAATAGGTCATGTTATGCAAGATATCAGAGTTGAGAGTGGCGATAATGACATGAGACATATAAACTTAAAGATTAGCAACAGGATATTGTAAGACGCTGTTAAGGATGATGAAAGATTGGAAAGTGAAACCTTGAGGAGCGCTGGTAGCCTTGGCTAGAGATGAGAGAATAAACATGTTTCAGCAGCAATAATCAGACACTGCAAATTATGCTTCAAAATAACAATTGAAACAACCATTGAGTCTGATATTCTAACAGGTTAACAGCCCTACGCTATCAAAACATGAAATTTTAGGTTATGAGAAAACAGGAAAAAGTTGGGGGGGATATTGGAAACTTTTGTAAGGCACTGTGACTGCTTTAGGAAACCGATTCACACTTAGCTGCTTTTACTAAGCAATTTAGAAACAAAATGCTCATTAATAAAATTAAGGTCTTTCTTAGCTTGATCGCGAAATCCTTTCTTTAATTACACCAGGAATGAATAAAACAAATCCTCTCTTCTTCATCAGCAGGTCAAACCTGCAGACCTTTACACTGCTGTGGAAAACTCTGATTTCCACAATGCTTTAATTTCATGCCCTGCACGCGTGTCCTTCACCATCATCACGCTGACCGCAGATGATGGATGGCTTCTCCTGACAGTTGTTTTAACAGTTGCTCCAACAAGCCTCACTTCTCCCTCTGCGTTTTCACGGCACGGGCCTTAACATTTTCACCCATTCGCTGTCAAGTTGACGCAATGTGGAACGATTCGTTTACGTTCCCCTTTTTCCAGGCGCAAATTACTCTCCGAGAGTTTATGGAAACACACAATAAGACTTTGGCTGAGGCGTAAAGTGAGTGGGTAGAGTTTGACCGATGTGGTGGATCAGTGATGGGCAGGAATGAAGGTTTCTGTGCGCTCCTGGAAAGGATTGCACTCAAGTGATTGCAAAAACAATGGTGGTTGAATTAGTGAACAAAGCAGGAGCTGTCAGGGGCCAAAAGTGAGCCACGCTACATGCTTTATGGTGCTTTCACCACAGAGACTAAACACATTAATCACCGATCAGGAGCTCAGTTTAAACATAACAAAAGTAAGGAGAAGACAGATGGTGAAAACAGGAAAGGAAGCCTGTCGGAAGAAGAAACTGAGGTGTTGTGGTGTATAGAACAAGGGCCTAAAAATCATCATCTAACCCTGCCAACAAAATGTATTAAATCAGCTGAAAACAACATCAGGTCAGTCTCTGAAATCAATGAGACCCTCCGCCGCAGACATCAGGAAATGTTAACGATCTTTTGGAAAGCATTCTTGTTGCGCAACAGCCACGACGATACATCCAAACCGCCAATTTATAATTCTTGCTTCTCCTGAATAAAATGATGCCGCCTCCTTGTTGCTTCCCTGACTGCTGAAGAGTGCTTGTTTCACTGCATCTCAACATGACTGACTTGGATAGACTATTAATGCGATTAGAGCAGGTTTCCTTTGATCTACGGCTCTTGCTTTCATGCCCAACTCGCGCTCTGAGTGGGGCTTCCTCAGAGTCGGCCACCGGCCCCCTGCTGCTGCCTTCAAATCGCCTCATCTTGTCTGAGAAGACCGAAGCCCCAGCTCCCCACACAACAGAGAGCCAGATTTAGTGAACCCTGGAAGGGCTGGAGTATTCCTATTAAAGTTGATTTTATTCTAGAGTTTCTTTTTGTTGCATGATGGTGTTTTCATCAGGATTTTATCTTAGTGTTGAAGATTTAATCAAGAATCTTGATTCTTGATTAAATCAAGAATCATGCTTGAAAATGCTTTATTTCAGCATTTTCAAAGCTGAAATAAAGCTTTGAAAATGGTGTGAAGAGAGTAGTAAAACTATATTATTTACAACGTAATGATTGGCCAAAAACAAAACAAACAAACAAACAAAAATAACTTTTAAAACACAAATTTAAGCCATTTGTTGTTTTACTTTAGAATATCTTTGAAAAAAATAATTTATTTCAAAGGGTGAACAAAGATTGCTTACACATAGTGGTACATTTACTTTTTCTGATGACAATATTGCATAAGACCCATAAAATATATTATTGATACAGAAATGTAATGCTGTTACCTAATTAAAAATAGGCAAACTGTTGACTTGAAATACACTGCTCAAAAAAATAAAGGGAACACTCAATTAACACATCCTAGATCTGAATGAATGAAATATTCTCATTGAATACTTTGTTCTGTACAAAGTTGAATGTGCTGACAACAAAATCACACAAAAATCATCAATAGAAATCAAATTTATTAACCAATGGAGGCCTGGATTTGGAGCCACACACAAAATTAAAGTGAAATGTTCCCTTTATTTTTTTGAGCAGTATATTATTATTTAATTTTTTTTTTTTTTATTTTTTTTGTAGTTTAATAAGATGCATGGGCAAGTAACAGCAGAAAAAAATCTGAATTTTTTTATGATTAAGATATAGTTATGCTATAGCACTAGATAAAGTTTAGTCTGTTGGCCTTATTCGAAGTTGATAGATCAGAAACGACTAAAAACGTCAAATTGGTGTCAAATTGGAATACTGTTGCTACCAGTTTATTGTTGAGCAGTATGAGCATACAGCAGTATGAGGAATGTCTTCACTTACATGCGAATAATGTTCTTAACACTGAAGTTGTCGAGTGGGGAGACGTCTGGGTCCTCTCCCTTTTCGTCCTGCAGGACAATCTGCTGAAGGATCCTGTCTAAAAGCTGCCAGTGCTGCAAGCTGCAACCTCCACGTTTATCTGAAAACAAAGAGAAACTCTTGTTTGTCACATTTGTGAATCCAAATGAACCCTGAGTGAACCTGTTCATCTGTACTGGAGATATTTTGGCCCATTTCTCTTCGACTCACAGGGCATCTGCAGGCAGTGCTGAAGGATCGAGAGAAGATGTGGGTAGGAATCTGTGTGGCTCAGCTTTTTCTTGATCAGCTCAAACATGGCACCAGCGCTCTTTGTGTCCACATGGGACTAACAAAGAAAAAAAAGATGTTTTATTTCTAATGCAGACCCAACCTTAGAATAAAATGATTTGATGTAAAAAAGAAAAACCCACTATATCAAATCTTTTGGCTAGCTCAGAGTCGTCCTCGTTTCTCACCATCTCAAAGAAGTTCAGATGTCTGGGAAAAGAAGCAAAACACTGTGACATTTATACATTTTGGAAAGCAGCACTACAGCACAACAGCAGATGATCACTCACCTGTCCAGAGTGGCGTTATCGTGCTCTCGGAGTTTATCAATAACCGGCTGAATGCCCAGCATCAGGAACTCGTACCTCAAGTGGAGACGAAACTCAAGGTTGTCCTGAAAGCATCAGGCAGGACAACAATATTCAAAATACCTGCAACTGCAAAGTTGGAAATTATCTGGCAATATTTAATGTTAAAAAAAAATAAAAATGTTAAAACGATTTAATGTTAAAACAGGAAGTCAGGAATTGTAAAATGTTCCAGAGAACCACGTGTGAATTTATTGATTGGTAAGAAACAGTGTCTAACAGCAGATTCAAGCTCATCTTATCATATGTTGAAAGAAACTACTGATGGATAAAACACAAAAACGTTGATTAGCACGTGCAGACCTCTCCGGCTCCAGCACTGAGCACCGCATTGATGAAGGACATGATTGCCGTCTTCAAGTTGACTTCGTCCCTGTAGCGGCCAGTGCTTCTGTCCAGCTCATTGAGGAGCGTCTGGATATAAATGCATAAATGCAGTTCAGAGCTCAAAGAGTCAGATTCAAACTGTGATAATGAAGGCATGCTAAGGAACCCGTATTACGCTGACAATATCAAAGAAAAGAAGGTGACACAGGGTCACTGCTCTTTAACCGTCCATCCTTTGTTAAACTTACCCTAACATACTTCAGAACTTTAATCACAGCTCAAACCGACATTTAAAGGCTTCCAAAGCTTGCAATGATTCAAATCCTAAGGTGATAGTTTAGTCTGTCATGGTACAATTTACTGCAGACCCCCCAAGGGGACGTGTAAGATGTGGTTGTTGACTCATTCCTGCCACTTACTAAAGCACTCAACACTCTGCGACCTTGACAAGTTTTAAATCCATTGGCTTGTGTGCCTGACCCACGACCAACCAGTTGAGTTGCACAAGTGGCTAAATTTAAAATGACCACAGTGATGTAGGCAGGCATCTTGGGAAGTTTTCTTGTACCACAGACATATGCTAGAGGTTTGAGCCATCACTTATTTCTTTCTATTTTAATTTCAAGGTGGAGGACTTGGTTTTAATTTGTCTGCAGCAAATTTTCTTTTGGCTTTTCAAATGCTTTTGTGAGTTACCAAAACTAGACTAAAGTACACAAAAGAAACTGACCTTTGGATGCTGAAAATGTGACTATTCAGAAAAAGTGCATCAGTCAATGTTTTGCGAAACCACCAAGCGAGAACATTAGGAACTAACTGGAGTCCAGAATTAATATCTAGACAGAAAATCAAATGTTGGCACAGCTAAGTTGTTTCAAAAGAATACAAAGACTCAAACTTAGCAAGCTTAGTAGAAATATGTAAGACTCAAACTGCTGTGATTATCATCTGTAAAGAGAAAGAAGTATTTACTGTGAAAGCCTGAAGACTTTACTAATTCTTATAGACTGTGACAGAATGAGAGAGAGCAAAACTGTTACCAGATAACAGAAAGGTTAAATGAAGTACTGTTTGCTCCAAATATGAAATTTAAAAAGACTGCTCACAATTGGAAGCCAGGAGTATTTTAAATACTGTTCTTTTGACATATGCTATGATCCGTAAAGAAAAATTTTGGCAATAATGGACATGAGAAGGTCAACGTGTTGCAAAAAAACCCCACAGATTTTTCTGTTAAGAAAATGACTTAGTAACAACATCAACTTCAAAAGATAAAAAAAAGCCTGGCTGAAAGGAAGTAGAATCTAAGGAAATTAGCAACATCTACTACTACACATTATCCACAATAACAGTAATATTACTTCAGCTCAGCTTTACTCACCTGGAATCGAGTCCTCTCTGCAGCGTATTTTTGGTAATGCGCCATGGCCTGCAGCACCTTCTTGTGTCCATCAGGCACCAAGCAAACAGCTCCGAGAATCTCCAGAACCGCCACTTTAGTTTTAATGTTCTCCGTCCGCAGGCTCTGAGAGATGGTGTTGATGCTTTGCGGATGGGCCAGGACGTGCGCGCGTCCCTGCGAGTTGTTCATCAGGGCCTTGATGCAGCCGATGACTGAAGTGTGGATGCGGCTCTCTGACGTCTCGTAGTCCATGCTGCGCAGGAAATTGAGCAGGCAGGTGAGTCCGTCGAGTTCGATGAATCGTGTGACGAACCTAAAGAAGCAGAGGAATAAAGATGGAGAAAATGAAGTTATGGACCATGTACATTGTTCTTTATTAGCAGATGTTGGTCTCTGAGGCCCTCAGTCCAGTACTTGTGACTCAAATTTAGATCAAAGATCTTTATTTTATCATAGGTAATAATTTCTAATACTCTGTACCTAGAATGCTAGTCTATGAGGGATTGTTCAACAACTCAAAAATATCATGTGTGACCTTTTCTATATGGTCATGTCAAACCAATAAAGAAGGAATAACAATGTTACATACAGTTTAAGCACTGGAGGACAATATGACTGTATTTTTCTTTGGCTAAAAAAACAAAACAAAACGAAAAAAAACCCAGAATATTCGGTTTTAGACTGAAGCTGGCTAAAACCACCTGACTCACATGTTCCTGTTCAGCATTAAATTAAAAGCCTATTTCACTTAAAACAAAATAAATAAAAAATCTATAATTTTTGATTTTGATTTAATTGTCTAAATTAAGTAGTAGAAGTTGTGTGGACAAAATTGCCGTGTTGATGTCAGATGTAAGAGGAGGAAAAAAATAGTTGGTTGGAGACGATAGAACTTCTTCAACTAAGCAAAAATTAGCTCAGACTCGCCAAGAATAGATAATGAACGACTGGAAATACATTTTCTGATCTGTAGAGTCTGGACTTCCCATGACATTCAGATGATTCATTTGCTTTTCTCTTTGCTGCTGAGACATTTCAGCCATTGTAAGGATCATTCTCTTCTATGCCACTCATTCGAAAAGCTTGCTTCAAGCCACTGCTCACAATGTCCTGGTTTATTTCTTCAGTTTGACAGAATTCATTTTGCTTCAGTAAAGTTGAGGACTCACAATGGATCTTCTTCATTGCATCCAAACACACCCACATCTTTCATTCATTCTACATCAACACATTTCTCTGCATCCGGGATCCACACCAAAGGGGCCACCAAAGCAAAAACCAAAAGACTTCCTAAAACTGTACAACCTTCTCCTCCCCTTCAAAGCTGATGTTAGCTGAACTAATTAGAAATCAGAGAGTCGATGACCTCTACAGGAGCGAAGTGACTAGCAGGAGATGTAAACACTGAGGGATGTCACGTCCAGTGAGCACAGTGTGGGCTGCTTTGTAAATGAGCATCCCACTCAATAAGATTCCTGATAGACCTCATAAATTATTTCAGACAAATGAGGGTTTGTGAGAGGGAGACATAGAGGACAGACGTGACACGGAGGGCGAGAGTGAAAGTGACGCTGAAAGCTATGATTTATAGCAACTTCTGGCGGATCTTGGACATTGTTTATAATAACGTGCTCAACCCCAATTCCTCACCCCCTGCTGTTTTGGCAGAAACGTGTCAAAAAAAAAAAAAAAAAAAAAGAAAACACAGTTTATAGCATTTACTTTGAGGCAAAGGCTTCTCCTTTTCTCACCACAGATGAATAAGAGATCACAAGCAGATGTCTAGATAGCAGCAAAAACACTACTGCTCTGAAATATTTGTGATTTCCTCCTGATTGAGAACACCTATACGTATACATGCAATCAGTCTCGAAGTTCCCACTCGGCATACAGTGCACTTTTTGTCTGAGCACAAAAGCAGCAGCCCTTGTCCTGCACCAAGGTGGCGACAGATGAATCCCATGCATTAAATATGACTTGATTTAAATTCAAAGCAGGCACTGGGAGCTAGATCGAGACACAACTGGTCCAGCTATGAGGAGTTGCACATTTGATATCTGTGAGGAGTTTTTGGATAGCATGCTGGAATAGTCCTTCGCCTGCTCATGAACCGAGGGCTCTCTCTGGAAGAGCTTTCATAGTTGAGGAGAAATTAGGCTGAACATCCCTGTGATTAATGTATGGAAAGCGGAGGGTGAGAGCTGTTGTTCTTGGAGTCTCAAATCAAAAGCATGGATGAGATTCAAAGCTCTGCATGCTGGCTGCTTCAAATCGCTCCGCCGAATTGTCGACCGTTTGCCAGAAAACACACACAAAACCCAAACTATGAACCATAAACTAATGCATGTGTGTGTGATTTATGCATGCAAGACATTAGCACTAACGTGCATGCAAGATTTCAACGGGAGGTTCATTTGTGTCTAATCTTCTGCCGTCTCCTTTTACTCCGGCGAGCTCTTAAATAAATGAATCTCCTCCTGCGCCCTATAACTGACATTCACACTCAGCTGATTGGCATAAAGGTCTTATTGCATTTCTTTCCAATTGGAACAAGTGTTGCATACTTTAAGCCTCACCTGGGATCAGCTAATGCTGCATATGAGCTGACTTGGGCTGCTGAATGGCACTTAAAGTAATTCAACCGCACACATTTTTCAGATAAAAAATAAATGAATAAAAAAAAAACAAGCATTAGTTAAATCTAGGCTCAGATTATTCAAGTAAAACAATGGCTTAAAGAAGATATAAAGTAGAAGATAGTGTGATTTATTGTGTAATGGGATGATTGCCATTGTTGTAAATTCTGGACTTCAATCCAGGCTGAATGACAGTCTGAAAATTATAAAACATCTTAAATTTAATGAATTCACCTCTATGGAAAACATGGATTAAACATTGGAATTAGGCATACATCTAAAAAAGAAAAAGTCACAGTGGAAAACTGCAGCTATAAAACTACAGCACAATTTGGTCATTTTTCATTCGACCTCAATGGTCAGAAAGAAAGGTAAAGTTGACAAGACATGAAAAATAATTAAGTGAATCAAGTTCTGGTTAAATGTACTTAAAAATGTATATTACTTATAACAATTTATTGACAACTTAGCAGCTTAGTGTCACAAACAAACATTTCCAGGCATAAAAATACTTTTTAATGCTTTAATTTGTTAGCACAATTAATAAAAATGATTTGCTCATCAGTGATCTTCCAGACTTTTGGCCTTATCTTGAAATCTCCTACGCTTAATAAGCAGAACGAAGCGGAAAGTAATCCAGAAGCGCACATTTAAATTCAGAACTGGAGTCCAGCTAGATGTACTGTTTGAGGTTTCAGCTTCAGAACCAAAACGGTTTTCCTGTTTGAACCGAGAATGACCCCAGAGTGGCAGACAGTCTGCCTCGAAGCACAGCCACACACACTTATCCAAGTCCAGCCCTTCCAAATGCACAAACTCAAGCGATCATGTGCTCCCCGGAGCCATTCTGCTGCCCTTCGTATTCACACACACATCTAAAAGTCTCTCTCAAACACCCACTCGCTTCCATCCAGGGACACTCAGTCACACACAGGACTGATTTGACTAGAAAGGAAGAATGTGAATAAGAGGCCAAGAAAGGCTGTCAGAGGTGCCAATTACAGCACCCTGACTGGAGGTTTTTGTGTATCGTGTAATATCAGCACAGCTCTCATTTAAATGCTTTTCACTTGTGAGGCCTGGTGTTTAACCGAGGTAACATGAAGGCTGAACAAAGGACAATGCACATAAAACCGACATAAACAGAATACGATTAAAGCCTCAGCCAAAGGGCACATCTGTAGCAAATGTTAAGCCATGCACAGAGGAGTTCTTCTGGGCTACGTTTATAGGCATGTCCAGAGGGACCGCTTCATACGCAGGGTCAGCTGATCTCAGGTGGGCCTTGGGATCATGATGTCTCCCGTCAGTGGTCAATAAAGTCAACAGGACAAACAGCAGTGCACTTCCATAGAACTCAAGTAAAAAAAAAAAAAAAAAAAAAAATGCTTTTTTTTTTTAAAAGGGATTTATTTTTAAAAAAAATATTTCCCCCAGGGTTTTGGGAA